ATGAGCTCCACATCCGTCGCCTTCAGTATCTGCCCGAAGTAAGCAGCGGAATAGAATATTCTGTTCGCTTACATCTTTCAATTTCCCCATTTGAGCCTTGTGCGATTCGCCTGCGGAGACCAGCTTCCAGACGGATATATGAGATACAGCAATATGACAAAAAAGAAGGGGAGCACTTCTTCCAAATCCACAGCGGCGGACTTGAGTTGCTCGTTCTCGTTCTGGAGCCCCATGAGCTCTAAATCCCTCGCTTTTAAAGACTGTTGGAAAGTAAGCAACCGAATGCTCATATCTGGTTTACTCACCGTTTTCAGATCCATGGCATTGGACTTGATTTGTTCGCGGAGCTCCACAAGCTTGATATCCCTCGCTTTCAGCAACTTCTGGAAGTAAGTAACGGAATATACATATCCACATCACCCACATCTTCCAATGCCATCATTTGAGCCTTGTCCGCACCACTGGTATTTGCCATGTCCTTTGCGGCTAGCTTGGCTCGCTCGTTCTTGTTGCGGAGCTCCTCGAACTCCACATCCCTCGTCTTCAAAGCCTATGGTAAGTAAGCAATGGAATGCCCGTCGGATCTGGTTCACCTACATCTTCCAACGCGAGTATTTGTGCTTTATCTGCATCGCGAATATCTGCCAAGGCGGATATTTCCTGGTACAATGATGAAATCAGAATCAAACCGAACATGGTAGAGCAGCAGCAGTACCTTCTCCAGGCGCGTCTGGTTCGCCTGGCAACGTGCAACCTCTAGCACAACCTTCGCATGCCCTTGTTCGCCAGTCGCAGCAACAGACTCGACGTTTTGCAGCTTCTGTAATGTAAGCCTCATTAGTAGTCCGCACGATGCCCGTTAGAGTAGATAAAACCGTCTGCAAGGCGCGGAATCGGAGGTCATTGTCCGCCACCACTTGGGTGAAGAGCGTGGTTTGAGAAACGAGCTGGGATTTGCTTTCTTGAAGGGCCTGCTGCAGGGTGAGGAGAATAGACGAGTGGTATTGATAAATAATACATGCAGTTTCTAATTCTTGCTTCAGCGCGCGCTGACGTTGTAGTTCTTGTGCGGCGTCTGAACGTAGAGACTCGGTAGTTTGCGCGCGCGCCTGGGCTTTCAGGAGTTTCTGGGGAATATCAGTGGAGAAACAAGACGCATAAAGTAAATGTATACCTGTGCGAAGAGAATTTTCTCGTTGAGAACCTGGTTGAGAGCAGCTTTTTGAGTGGCCAGATCCGACGCGGTGGTTTTGAGAGACTAAACAGCTGGATGTTTGAACGGCAGGCAATCACAGAAGCGCTCAAAAACCCGACCTTTTGTAATGCAGCCTTCTCCCCTATTGCTGCGTCGTACTTCTCGTGCAGAAGGTGAACGGCCCTCTCTTTGGCAACGCCTTGCGACGACAAAGTCTAGCCGAACGTCAGCAATGCCCCGTCAGAAGCTGAGGAGATCCTTACCTCTTTCTGCCGTGCGAAGCTCTTCCGCTCTTGGGCAACGAGATGAAGCTGTTCCTTTACGTCCACTTCCTTACTATTTAGATCAAGGACGCGCTCCTCAAGTGCCTACAGAGATGAGAAGAATGCGCGGATGAAACACATATACTCACCGAGAGCAGCTCGAGGCCGCTTTCTTTTTCAGCTGCGTACAAGACCTGAAGCTCCGCTAGCGCCTGTGCCTTCACGATAAGCTCAGATTCAGCCTTTAAAATGGTCAATGCGCTCGCTAAACACTCAAAGAAGGCCAACCCACATTTCTGGCCTTCGTAGAGATCTCGGTGAAGAGGGCGTTCTGGAATCGCCATCTGCCTCAGTATTTCAGGGGGGCTCGACTGAAACATACCTTTTCTGATAAGCTAAGTTCCAATTCCTTGAGCCTTCCTCGCGACTCGGTGAGGGCATCTGAGAAGAGCTTGACCAAATTTTGGGCCACATCAGGATGTGCGTTGAGGGCCTCGTCCATATCATCTACGGCCAGGATGAGCCCAAGACTGTATTTTGGATTTCTTGTCTTCTGTCGGCCCCAACAAGGCTCAAAAAGTTGTGCCGCGTCACGGATGTGACAACATTGTTGTGAGGCTCGGCTTTTCCGGGCCGACTCATAGGCGAACAAAGCTGGAGCGCAAAATTGGAGTCCATTTGGGAATCCGAAATGCCCGCATTTTGGGGTGATCGGCGGCATGATCGCGGGCATTTTTGAACGATTGCGGGCATTTGAGGGCATTCTCACGGGGATTTAGAAACTGTCAGCCACCAAATACAAAGCACCTCAGTGCACTTTGATGCGTTTGGGGGTTAGTAGGTAGGACTATAAATCAAGGCTTTCTCTCTGCTATCTAGACTAAATATGCAGCGATGGGTATGAGACTCATACCCATCGCTGCACATCACTATGTTGACCCGCCGAAAGGTCAAATTGATCCGAAACAAATAGTGCCGTCGTGCCGAAGAGGAAGCCGGGCGCTTAGCGCACTGGAACGCTACCGTACACAGTGTACTTGGGATATACACTAGGCAAGAATCTTGAGAAACAAGTACATACTATGATTTGTGCTCGTAAGCCCTCACACTGACTGCACGCGCCGTAAATCGGTGGTTGACAACCTATCGGCGGCTATTCCCGGCGGCATTTGATGGCGGCCTCGATCGGCGGCATTTCGAACTCCCAAACTTTCTGCAAAATTGGCGCAAAACCCAATTTTTAAAATTTACGATTAGCGTACATGAACATGCAATAAAGGGTAATTTTCCTATTCACCATCAGGAACGAAACTCGAGTCTAAAACTGACAATGCATGATTTCACAGACACTTGTATTTCAAGAGCGCTTCATCAAGTTCTCCCCACGCACTTCCAACCGTTCAAAAGGTTCAACTTCAATCGCAAACGAAACGCCATTGAATATGAGCTATCGCACAAATTTACGTGTGTATGCTCAGTTTATATATTTGCATATTAGAGTGTCTTGCCTGTAAGTAACGCCAAGCTCCCCAAACACAAATTCAATGATAATTGAACTCTAACGCGACTTCCTGCCGTCCAGTCGCGCGGAAACCGCTTTTAATTCACTCTGCGTCGGTCGTTTAAAATTAATTCAGGCCGGAAGATACAAGAAATTGAACCCCGAATCGAACGGGGGCCCCCACGGACCTCGTATTTGAAAAAGTACTTCTCATAGGCACACTGGAAATTGGATGGAATCCGCTGTCTTAAACTGAAAGCGAAATCTTTAGTTTCAGACGAAAACATGTTCCAATTTCCAGTGTGAGGCGTGCAGTATACACCACAGGGTCTTTAGCCCATGTCTCTGAGATCAGGATTTTATACGGTTTAGATTTAAATTCAGCACGATTGATCCGAGTTGTCCAGATTCAATCCAGATTTCAGATTCAGGGTAGATGCAGCCCGTGTCCTTTGTACGAAGGCCCTCCAAATAAATGCGCGTTCATTCAATATCATGGTCTGCGGCGCCTGCAGTGTCTATCGTGAACAATTCAATTAAGATGCAGATAAGTCGGCGCCCTCCTGAGGAATGTGCGGTGGTTAGAATCATTATGCTCGGCCACACCGGCGGGCGCCAGTTATGTATCGTCTTACCCAGCTTCACCGGCCAGTTTTTTTTTTTAAAAAAACGACAAGAAAATAAAATATAATATTGACAAACTATGACCCAACCCCGACTCGAACGGAGACCTCCCACAAAGTTTCCCGTCTACTTTCTCCTGCTTATCGTACTGGGCGTGCGATGTACACCACTGGGTCTGTAACCGGTATTTCGTATGCATGATATATGTGGGCGATATCTGGGTTCAAATTCAGTGAGTATTGTGAATGGTCTCTTTCGATCGCAAGGGTTCTTTTCATCTGATCAATGGGAGTATAAAAAAACACCTATCTCGTCGAAGCCGAATATAATCCTGCTAGAGGACTTCAGCATTCTGCGGATGAAACAGAAAAAGATATTGGGATGATGAGACTAATGACCAAGCCCCGGCTCGAACCTCCCACAGCTTCCGCGTGAAACTCAAATCCTTGTGGGTGTGCGGCGTACACCACCGGGTCTCTGAACACTCTTTTGCGCGGTTGATATATACGGATGGTTTCTGGGTTTGAAGTCGCGATTTAACCGCGTACACATTAATTTCTAGCGGAAGGGCTCATAATTCTAATGAGGCGTCTATGGAGGTATCATTTTGAATATTAATACGCACCTCGTTGAAGATGAACATAATACCACACGGAGGACCGACAAGTAAAGATAGAAAAAGCGGCAAGCTATTACCGATTGACCCGGCCGGAACCTTCCACATGTGTGAGCTTAGAGTCTTGGACGATGTTTATTTCACTTCTAGTAGGCGTGCGGTTTACACCTAAATTTAAAGTCAGCAAGGGCAATCCGGGCTGTCGTGGGGTTTTAATCAGGATTCAGATTCAGATTCCAAGTGGATGCAGCCCGCGCCGTCGGTGAGAAAGCGAAAGGCCACGCTGCTGATGTATGTGCGTTCATTATATGTCATTGGCGGAACATGCAGGGTGGAAAAAAAACGACGATCCAAGGAAAAGCTCGCGTTCGTAGAATGATGACCCGACCCCGAATCGAACGGGTATCTCCCATAGAGTTCACAGCCAGTTACTTGTCGTGATCGTGGGTGACGTACACCACCGGGATCTTTACATCCTCTTTCCTACCAGGATTTTGTGCGGGTGATATCTGAGTTCAAGATGAGTGAGTACAGTTGAATGGTTGCTCAGAATTAAATAAAATGCAGATGCCGTGGATGCAGCGCACCATTTGCATAATGGTGAAAGCGCGCTCTCTTGAGGAACGTGTGGTGGTTTAATATCATCGTGCCGAGCGGCACGCGCGGGCACAGCGCCTCAAGAAAAGAACAGGAAAAAACTTTATTAATGAAAGGCTCATGCACATGACCCAGTCCTGAGTCGAACGGGGACTTCCTACAGAGCCAAGAAATGAAAAAGACACATTCTATCGCCTTATGACCCGACCCGACCCCGATTCGAACAGGGACCTCCCACAGAGCTATATCAAAGTTTGAACCCAATGTATTTCCAGTAGGCGTGCGACGTACACCATCGGGTCGTTACCAGCTATTCCGCATGCGTTATATACGCGAGCGATATCTGGGGGTAAATTCAGTTGGAGCGCGACTGGCGGTATGTCATGACGGTGTCAGTTGGCAGGGTAGGCGAGGCGAGTGAGGGATGTTCCTAAGGTGCTAAAGTGCATGCAGTAGAGATAGACAGACCCCTGTAGGATGCTCGTTAGTAGAGAGATAGAGCAGGAGCCGCAGGAAGGCGGGCGTCCCGCGAAAGCACGACAAGGGGCGGGCAGGATGAGTAGAGGTGACGGGCGTGGGTGCGGACGCGCAGGGAGACGTCCTGCGGGCCCGCTTCTCCTGCGCGCGCCTGGGTAGATCACTCGCGAGGAGGCGGTCATCGATATTGAAGCGGACATCCTCGGCCGCACCGTAAAGGGAATATGAGCTTCCGGGCACACGAAGGACACGGTCGACGGGCGCGTCTCGGGAGGCGTGCGTGGCGTGCGTGCGTTCTGGCTAGAATACAGATTAGACCACTCCCTGCCAGTTCGCGAAACCCGCTGAGATCGGCGGCAGAGAACGCACCGAGTTCGCGGCACGCGTCGAGAAGTGGTCGTCGTCGCGTGTCGGGATATATTGAGTGCTGGTACGCATGACGATGACGGCGCTCGAGTGGATCCCGCCGACGTGCTGCCGCCGGTTCGCGGGGCACGGATTGTGAGCCTGGTGTGGTGAGACGCTGCGGATTCCCCCAGCGTACAAGTGTGTCTGCGCGGCAAGATGTCAGATCTCAGGATTGGTAGATCATATGGTGAGACGAAAAACCACAGACCTCCACTCGTAGGGGGAACTTGTTGTGCTCAAACAAACCAAGCTCGGAGGCCAGAGACCGCAATTGAAAAATGCAGGGGAAAAAAGGACTCGCCTCGAACGTCAGAACAGTCACGACAGACTGGGAGACGCACCGCTAAATCCCAGCGCGACCTGTCAAAAAGTCCTGCTCAACTTGAAAAAGTCGCGGCTCCAATGCATGAACGCGTCGTATGACGTTGTGATCATAGAAAGCGTCCTAGTCATTTGGCCATAAGCGCATTCATTTGGAGGAGCCGCGTCTGGACGCGCTGACCTTCTGCGAGAGTGGAAGCAAGAAGCTCGAGGCTGTGCAAACATTTGGCCGTGTTGGTCTCCGGATCCTTTCGGCGCGACTCAGCTTGGTGGGTGCGAAATAAACGCATAAGATTCAAACACACAAGTAACTTGGGCTGAGCCAAAGCCTTTAAATGTGATCTCCCCCAATAAAAAGCAGTCGCTATAATCATGACCCGGCCCCGAATCGAACGGGGGCGTTCAAGTCGAGTTCAAGTAGGCGTGCAGCGTACACCACCGGGCCCGTGGGCCTATAGCCAATATTCTGCGCGAGGGTTTTATACAGCACCTAAGTGTGCAACGAGTATAATCATAAATGGGTACATGTACACTTCAACCGTGTTAATTGAAGAGCTCGTATATTCTGATGAATCAGCATGCAAACTTCAGGATGTTAATGGCACGTAGCGCGTACCTGCCGTGGACGTTCATAGAATTATCCTGTCCGGTGGAATCTGTATGTAAAAAAAGGGAAGAGAAATAATTCCAGACTCCATGACCCACGAACAGAGACCTCCCACGGACATCGTCGCGGTCGCCAATCTCTTGTGAGCGTGCGGCGTACACCACTGTGTCCGTACGCGATATATCGTACGCGATATATGGGTGATATCTGGGTTTAAAGCCACGATTTAACCGCGAACATATTATTCTTGAATGGAATTCATATGTGCCAATGAGTGGGTCTCCATGTATCATTGTAAAATAATAACGATGATAATGAGCATCGCCAGCTGGTGGGCCTAAATACAATATTGGCTGGTGGCACTTGCAAGTAGAAATGAAAAAAAGACCAGGAAATACTGTATTGCCTATCGAACGAAAACTTCCGACAGAAGTTTGTGGTTCCAAAACATTTCTTGTAGGCATACGACGTACACAACCAGGTCTTCACCCTCTCCCTTGTACGAGGTTTCTATGCAGGCTAAGTTCAGTGGGTATTATCGAGCAGCATTACTTTCTAGCGGAATTCGTACGCTGCAATTAGTGGGCTTCCATGTATGTTGTTAAAATAATCATAATAACAATGCATATCGCTAGCTGTTGGACGTGACTATATCATCCTACGGAATCTGCAAGTGTAAATGGAAAAAGTCCCACAACTCCACCATGACCCGCCAAATCGACTGGGGTTCCCACATAGGATGAACCACATCCAGATTTTCATAGACGTGCGACGTCCATTCCCGGGTTCTTAAGTTCTCTTTTGTATGGGCTTTTATACCGGGCTCGAATCAGCAAGGACAATCCAAGTTAAGGGTCAATTCGGAGTGGTTAAGCCGTGGTATCAACAGCTCCAGGGAAGAACACGGTAAGGCGTGTAACATCATTAAGCTACGAAACAGCAGTAGTTCGCACTTTCGTGCAATTCAACATACGTTGAATTATATTCCACTTCCATCTTGATCAGTTTCGAAGCTTGTGCACACTCAGAACGGGTCTACTCACTTTACCGCCATTCACGAGATCATCAGGGACCACTCAGAACGTCTCCGTGAGTTTAATGCTGTCATTGACCTCTTCCACCTTGAAGTTCAAGTTCTGGTCGGATTCGGGGCCTGATCCAATAGGGTACAATGTAGGCACTTCCTCTGCCTCCATTGATGAGATTATTCAGCCAATCAACATCCACGAGGGGATACCCGAGCTCGATTGCAACGTCTTGACTGTTGGGCTCGAAGCCCTTGGCAGAATGAAAGCTGCCAATTAGATCATAGTCAGTTCGCCCCCACTGTACCGCGTCGAGGGAAGCGTGAAAATGAACTCGCGGAAGGCCAAGTTGTTCCCAGGTGTCCTCGGGCAAACGCTGAAGTCCCTGCGGATCAAATGCCCAATGATAAGCACCATGACCTTCTGGAGGCGAGAGAAGAGCCGTATGACTACCCGAGACGTCTATATTGACGGGGGGTAGGAAAAGATAAATGTCGTCCATTGGGATGTCGGTTTCTGTGATGAATGTCCCGCACAAGGTAAATTCATCTATATCCGGCCAGATTGAGAAGGTCAGAGAAGTCTCGACAATAATGGCTGCTAAATATGTTATAGATTGCTAAATTGCAAATTGGAGTAGCTGTAACGTACAATATTCGTCTGAAAGACATTGAGCCAAGGGCACAGGTATTAATTATAATGATAACACCAACTCACTTGCCTGCAAGCATGACTTCTCCATGACATGGTTCGCCTGTGCGAGCCAGCATTTTCGAACCTCGAGATCCTCCGTCAGATGTATGACGTTCCTGAAGTGACACGCCGTATCAATGGGTAAACCAATTAGAGCAACACTACATTCCTGGTACCGACTCAGGTACCAGGTCTCCAAACCAGAAATAAAACATGTCTATTGCAGCCGTGTTTATGCACTCGATCGTGTCGGTCCGAACTCCGAGTGTAGAACCTCTCACGCCTGTCAAACCTGATGACTGATCAACAGGGGTCCACATGCTACGAGGCAACCCCGCTGATGCGAGGGTTGATCGCAAACGGTCTGGCGACCGTTTATCGCCGAAGCAACCGTTTTAAGACCGAAGATGACCGTTTTGCAAACACGTGATTTGACACCATGTTTGGCACACAACCGAGTTGTAAACAACGCGCTCTGCTCTGATTCTCGTCGCGCCATTCTGCCACCACTGGACAGCTATGCCCCAAACGCCGAGAGCGCATTGGTTCACTGTATGTGAGCCCCCAAAAATATATTTCTTCACCTGAATAAATTTAAATGCGTGGGATGAGCCCAAACACCAAAATATCTATGAATGACTTGTGAACGATGCATTGCGCAGTTTTTACAGGTAGAGTATTGACAGAAAGCGGTATGTGATATCTCAGAGGAGTGTCAGAAGTCCTGGGAAGTAACTATCTGCCGTATTGATGCCCAGCGATGCAGTGTGGCATGAAGTGACCAAACCACTTGTGGTGCGACATGCACAACTTCTTGAAGAAGCCACTAACCCAACAGCCTCTGGACTGTCTCTGCTGCTCTCTTCAACCTCCTCAACACACATACTCTGCTCTGCTGTTTCCGCTGGCCGGATATATCTTCTGATTGCATCACTGTCCTGCGAGCTTAAACGTGCGCGGCGCCGCGCTACGCTTCAACGAAGATCTTAATTCTGGCTAGGAGAATATTTACTAGTTCACCCATAGTATAGTAGAATTCCGGGGAGGAGGGTCAACCAGAGTGCGCAGATGGAAGACCAATTCATAAGCTGTGGTTTTTATTTCATCAGTCTTCCCTTTTCAAGTGCTTGTGGGTGAGCCAAATATTTTTCTTTCCTTGCTGGTTTACTTACAGTATCTATTCAGGACTTTTCTCTGTTTTCTTGTACCGAAATATGATGTCTTGTTCCCTGTGCCTTTATCTTTTTTTTTTTCAATTCAACGGGTTCCAATTCAAGTGCTACCATTCAGGAAATAATTTGCAAACGGTAGACCCTTGCATCATATCACACAGATATCGGTGCTGCGCCGGTGCGCCGCTTGCTACGCGATCCTCAGCGCTGCTGCTTATGCAACGACTCGTCGATCGGGCAAGTGAGACACCGCTCCCCCGTCTTCTGCGCTTCATCATCATGTCGGTCTTTGACCCGGCAAATGTACTCGAGATCCTCAAGCCGAGCTCACAACTTGCTTCCACATCACGAAATTCGGGAGATCACTCCAAGGTCAGATAAACCCTTACAAACATCAGATCTGACACAATCCACTGTAAACCACTACCTGCCTGGTGACGCTACACCGGGGCTTGGAGACGGATAATTAATCTTGCAAAGTTCACCTTTCTGGTTCACCTTCCAAGCCCTGGTAGTGATTATAAGTCCTGGGATACGTGTGGAAGGCCACCACAGCAGTCCCATGAATTCCTCAATTTTTGAATAATGCACACAAGAGA